GCGAATGTATTTAAGAAATGTCTCATTTTTAAGGTTTTAATAAGCACGTAGAGCATAATCCTTCTTTATGGACCATCGACTGAAACCTATGAAAATCATAAAATTGTAACCACCTTTCACGAATGATATAATCCTCAAAGATCAAAGAAATGTGACGAAAGGCACGTTCTCTTAGTGTACACCAATTGGTACATTTATGATTGCACTTCATAATTCCACTTAAATTTCTAGTCACTGGCTGAAATTCCCTCACGTGATCTTCCGAGATATTCTACTCTTGTGACCTTCCAATCTGAGTAGTCGAGCAAAAATCTCGCTTGCCTTAGTCCAACATAAATTTAGCAATTTTTAAATGGAAGAAATAACTAGCAATTCCCGTGAAAACGTGTTGCAATACATACTCGAACTTTGGGCTGTTCGGTAACAGCCATACGTTACAATGCCTATAATATGGAAGCATGGGCATCCGAAAATCTTAAAAAAGTATTATTTGTCAAAGAAATTTTGCATATGCTCCATTAAACACACCTTTTTTACGAATAGGCTTTTTCTACAATTAAAAATTATGTTTACCTATAACCCGACCCAACCAGGCCGGATTTCGCGCTGGGCGTGGATGTGTGAATCAGATATTCACACCGGGACGGATCTTTGAATTCCGCTATATCTACTAACAACCAACGGCCATCTGCTTTGTTAACTTTGCCACTGCGTTTGACTCCGTTCACCGTGACTCCCTATGGCGAATAATGGCATTTTATGGTGTATCACCAAACTAATGGCCATGATCAAGGCATACTACCGCTCCAGCACTGTGCGAGTTCTAGTCCACAACCAACTCTCAGAACCCTTTGCTATTCGGTCTGGCGTTCGACAAGGCTGTGTCCTGTCGCCCATCTTCTTTAACTACGTCATCAACTGGGTTATCGGGAAGGCCCTACAGGAAAATGGCGGTATTGAGCTTGCACCCGACTATGCCGAGGATATCGCGTTACTGGCTTCATACTTTAGCGATCTACAGTCTATGGTGTCCCGGGTGAACGAGGACGCGAAAATGGTCGGCTTGTCCATAAACGCAAGGAAGACCAAATTGTTTTCATGCTGTGTCCCTGCCCAAGAGAAGGCGCCTCTCGAGATTAGTGACTGTCAACTTGAAGAAGTCGACAGTCTCAAATACTTTGGAGCGAGGTTGCTGCCGAATGGACAGAGTAAGGATGACATTGTCTCCCGAAATTGATGCATGAATTTTATCCAGCCTTCGGAAAAGCCTGTAGTAGCCCTAGCAGCCACTTGGAACCCAAGATCTGACGGACAGCGCTTTTGCCCTGCGTGCCGAATGCCGCCTGCGATCAGGTGCTAAGTCCCGGCACCCCCTGTCCGTTCCCGTGACTCACTCCACATAGGCGAGCATGTCCGAAAGCCCACTGCTGGTAACGCGTACGTCCGCACTGAGGGCGGCTTCTGACAAAGGCAAATCACAGATCCGCAAAAGACTGGTCTCTCCCGACGGCGAATAAGACGC